GAATTTCCTGAGTCGCCTCTGGAAAACGATACATCGTGCCGTATATAATAAGACCAGAATGCTCCCGAATTATCTCCTGACTTACATCTTATTTGGCATTGCATAATGTCTGTTGCCTTACAGCTGTTTAAATGATGACGGCGCACGGGATCATCGTCATCTCACCAGTCACCTGAAGACGGAAAGAGAAAACACTTCCGAAACGCCGCTGTTTCAACTACACAAAAGGAACGTCCGAAATGTTATTTCAATGAATGTATCAGTACCTTAACGTCATAACGTCAGCTGTGCTGTAGCTTTGTCTCATCTGTACGTGGGAAGACGAAAACTTGGGTGATTTGCTCAATATTTAACAACAAACTATATGGTATACGTCTCAAACTATATGACATATCCAAATACTAAACCCTGATACTTATATTTCAATGAACGTGTGTTTACCGAAAGCCTTATATCAGATGAAGCTGGCACCACATCCATCAAATATCGAGATTAAGAACACGTGTAGCTACGTACCACACACACACACAACTCCATGGTGTGGTATTTAATTACAAATACGGGGAAATTCTTACTGTGTTTGCTTTAACTCCAAAATGAGATTCTTTTGGCACACATCATAATTTTGCGTAATCGCCGATTTAACAACATTTGTTCATCCCTACGAATCTAACAAACAAAGCTCTAAATCAGGGACAAGAAAGGAGTTCCACAGTTGCAAAATGTAGTTTATATCCAATCAAAACTGCCTAGTTACATTTTACGTGAATCTGAAATGAAATTTCATTAAATCTAAAAATACAACAAGGAATTCGGAGCATTATTCTTAAGCCTGTTTTTCTATCGCATGAAATTAAAATCCTAGAAAATATGTTCTTAATTTTATATTCAGTTACGTAAGTTTGCAATTCCACAGTAAATTTAAATTTACCATACAAGATGGCGTGCTGTAGCTCGCTTGTGAGTAGTTTGTCAAATTAACGAATCCTACTGGAGTTAGTGCATTTTTCTCCTTACAAGCTGTCATTAATATTTCTAAACCAACTTATTATTTATTATAGATCTTGTCTACGTTAAATTTTCGGATAGCACCTCAAAGTTTCGCACATTCAAAGAAAAAATAAATCAAGACTTATAAATAATACCCGCATCATAATTTGCAGAAATGGTAACATTTCATGTTTTTAGAGCTCTGACGATCCAATGTTGCTATCAACGCGAAAGACGATTACGCACGGTCGCCATATTACTTACATACTAGGAAAAAATCTACGGAAAAAAGTGGCATAACTCTCAAGGATCTATTACCATTGTCATTATTTGAGGAACATGTATTAAGCGACGTTACTGTCATTTACAACTCAGAAGTTCGTACGTACGCCATTCTATTAAACGAGATTTGTATTAAATCGTATAGAACAATGTTCATACGCAATTTCGTAAAAATCGGTCTCCTGGTTTAGAAGTTAAAATGGAAACAGACAACGAACTCATAGGTTTTCTACTTTGCGTCCTTAAAAATTAAAGTAGATTAAAGACGGGACACATGAAATACCACAAATTTTGTGATAATTGAGGATACCACAGCGAGGAGTCGAAAGATGGTTCGTCCGAAATCCTGTTCAATACATACCAGACTACACTGTGCAACATCCTAGAAGACAGCCATATTATTATTTTTTAATTATTTTTAAATTAAGTTTTAAGCTGTTTTCACACATTTGTTGACATAATATGATATCCCTACAAAGTCTGTTTAACTAAATGTAAAGTAAAATAATTCATACCGTGCAATGCCCTTCTGACGATTAGCTGTGTCAACAAGGGTTTATTTATGTGATATACTAAAGCAAATATTAAGGGTTTAAAGGACCAATTAGTGATGCAGAACCACAGAGAACAAAAGTGGACATTTTGTGTGATCCACTACAAAGTACATTTCTCCACTCGACACAAATAATGAGGTAAAAATTCCAATTTCACTGCTTCAACATTCACGAAATATTTTATTGCATGTTTTAGTTCATAGGCATGTCCACCTTTTACAAACACCTACCACGGCTATCCAAGTGGATAACTGCGTGCTCTTCCATTCCACCAATCAGTACACATCAAATCCAACTCTCCTCCTACCGCCTACCATACATAAGACAGGCAAAAAAAAAAAAAAAAAAAAAAAAAAAAAAAAAAAAAAAAAAAAAAAAAAAAAAAAAAAAAAAAAAAAAAAAAAAAAAAAAAAAAAAAAAAAAAAAAAAAAAAAAAAAAAAAAAAAAAAAAAAAAAAAAAAAAAAAAAATAGTGTCGCTGCAGTCACAGATAACTCCAGTGCAATGTCGTAGTTCCGACCGCCAAGCCGGTATAATGTTGTGCCCTTGCCAGTGCTTGTTACTGTCTGCTCCATTCACATCCTGAATAGACCATAGCTTCAAGACGAATGTACCGGAATACACACAATATCCTCATGCGTTATTTGCAACGTGCATTTACAAGTATTACATCCGCCTTGTCCAACGAAATAAATTTACAAATTCTTGAAACTTCAAAATTTCTAAATATTAACAATTTTTTAAAAATATCTGTCAACACCCACGATTTTGAAACTTTCAAAGTTTTTCGAAATTTCAAAATCCATAATTAAGAATTTCATAACTTCCACATACGATATTCCAACGTTTAAAATTCGTATTTAAACATCCAACCCAACCTAAACGTCCTTAACACAAACTAAGCAAACCTAACTTAACGTAACATATCTCAATTTAAACTAACGTGTCCTATCCTGTTCTAACCTAGCCTGTCCCAACAAAAGCAATCTTAACATACACAAAAAATTCAGCCGATTCCCACTTGCATCAATACTAACCACGATTAACATTCAAAGAACGCACAACAGCGGTCGCCAATAGTGACCATAGCAAACAAACAAATTCCCACTATGGCCACCAGATCGCAGCACCTTGATGTCCACCTCACGACTTTCCTCATCCGCCATTTTGTTATATCCGCTCGCAGGATATTAAAAAATGCGATTTTGAGGTCGTGTAGAATGGCACAAACTCCATACCAATTTTCAACCCAATTCGCCGAGTGTTTCTCGAATTGACTCAACTGGAGAGACAGGATCAGCCCACAATGCGTTCTTCCTATGCACTTCGTGCAAGTAACGCATAATAACTAAATGAAAAGGCTGAGTTTCAGTGGAAAACTGTCCAAGTTATTCCTTAAGACACTCCAACTTTACCAATTGTGAGAAAGAATTTCTCCAATAAACTTGCATGAAAAATTATCCGAAAGCGGTATTTAGAAAAACTTTTTTCAGCAATGACGTCATTTTAAGGTGATTGGGTTTTGTGAGTGAAAAGGGTTTTAGAGTACAGAGCGCATGAAACGCTGACTTAAGTCTTGCAAATTCGAATCCACGAAAATTCCTGTCTTAAGTGCAGACTAGGCGTTTGTTGAGTTTGTTCCACTGCTCGAGGAGACCCTAGTTACCGAGGGGTACTGTAACCTGTAGTTGGTAGTACATGCATGGTCCAGTCACCTTCCTACTCTGTCCTGTTATCATTAGTATTATTATTTTATTAAATAATTACGCACATTCAAAAGGAAAGTTCCTGAGTATATGATAGGAAGATTATATTAACATTTACTGACTTTTCTCAGAGTTTACGAAAATTTAAGTTTTAACGCTGAATATCTGGAATATGTCTCCTGGGTTACGGCGTCGCGAAGTCTTGTAGGCTTCATTTAAGATGGAGTCGAAACGTTCGCCCGAAACCTTGGCAACCACATATAAGGCTACACGGCGTCACAACCGAGATGACCACAAATCAGATTTTCCTCCAAACTGTCCCTTCGACCATTTGTCGATTAATCTTAAAATCGAACGTCCAATTTATCGTTTCTGTCAATTTAACACGATATCACAACACGAAAACGTATGAGGGAGTATATAAGTCGTCAGTTCTGCACATTCATGACATCGAAGCTAGACAGATGTGAGCAATTTTCTTCAAACTCTGGTCTCATTATCCTCGGGGAGAGATCCACATAAACTTACTGGAGGGCAATCTCTGGCCCCGGAGGGAAAAGAAACCTGGTCGAACCTAGAGCCACATTACAGGCTAAAACTACGTTACATAGGCCTACGACGTGTTATTGCACAACCGCGTATTTATGATATTTAAATTTATTTCGCCTTTAACTAACTTTAATAATCAAAGCTAACAAACCGAAGGCAGACGAACAACAGCGCAATAACTATCCTTCAGACGCAACATCAGACAAGCCATTAATACGAAACTACGTCTACGAGCCATAAATTGGAGACTGCAACGGAGTTAGACCCCAGAAGACAGCCATCGTCGTACTCACCGCCTTGAGAACCTTAAATTCTACCATACCAATCGATTTTTTGATGTAAAACTGACACACATCTGTTTCACATTTCATGATAATGCATAAGAGGATTTGGCCCACGTAATAGGCTTTCATTTGAACGCGGATAGGATATTGAATAAAGCCTTGGATGGGCGAATCCGCGGATATAGAAGCAGAACTCTCCATAAAGCCCAAGGCTCTATGGAACTCTAGCGTCTATACATTCATATCACCAGGATTATGTAAACGAAGTGTTTAATTTTCACATTTCTCAGACGAATTGGATCATCTGATACGTCAAATTCGACTTCTGGTCAAACATATTTATGCATTACAACTAAAGTACCCGTCTTTTATGAATCGCCCTGATGATGGAGGCAGCAAAGACCTTCGAAACGTCGGTTAACTTATACCAGACTACACGGCGTAACAACCGAGAAGACGTCTTATTTACTTCAGAGTTTTCTGATATCGAAGCCATTAACAGGGATCCGTTAGTCCGCGGTGTCCAGGTCGTAATGGACCGAACTTAAGCTCAGTCCATGTTCCATTCCTCCTGGAAGGTCCTGTTAGGGTCCTCGTCCACATATTAAGGAGTATTCAGTTTCTATGTTTACTTACCGCAAGGTGTGGACTTCCAAGGAGAAACATGGTGCTAGTGTAGCCTCCTCTTCACCACTGTTCGCTACAAGACGCTGTGTCGATCTAATTTATTTCTTTACGAGCGAAGTTTCTCCAAAGCAAACCGAAACCAATCAGGTGAAAGGCAAATTCTATGATAAAAAAATAATCTTTGCCGCTGTGTTGTGTTGGACAATGTGACCGCTGGGCGGGGGACGGTTCCTTTTATACACTCTCCCCTAACTGAACCCCCGTTTTCCTCCCCACTACACCCCGTGTTCAGTACAGCGCACCGCTGTGGTCACTCTGTGGCACAAATCATCCGTGGATGCACAGCGCTTCCTAAGCAGCGGGAAACGAGAGGCTTTTTATCTGTGTCTGCCTCGTGCAGTCCACAGCAACGCGACTTTCTATGACAGAAATTCACAGACCAATGAATTAAGACGTGTACATCTGAATATTTTATGTTGGAACCGTTCACCAATTTCTCACACCACTGCATCGTCTTCACAGACACTAGACTCAAAAATCACACACGACATTATCAATACATACGATGTTACGTACGTCTAAAACGTGGTATTTCACAGTGAGAGTAATCCTCTTTATTTGTGGATTATGTAACGACGCTCCCAGCAGCTGAGACAATAAGGGAAAAAAAACACGAATAGCCGGTCCCTGGATCGAATACGAACTCAAAGCCTCCGGAATATGAAACAGCAGTTTTACTGAAACATCATTAAATAAACCGTAAATAAAAATATCTAATTTAATTCTATAAATAACATCCACGGTGGTCTAGCGGTTCGATTCCCGGCGGTGCCTGAATTTATAACTTGTGTTGGGCAAGGCCGTGGTCTAGGCAACACGGAGTTTTCCTCCGTGGCATCCGAACAATTACTCCATTCACACACAGAAGAAGGCAATGGCAAACCACTTCTGGATCATCTGCCAAGAACGTATATGAACAGGTCCCAGTCCGAGAAAAGGATGGAAGGATCCTGTTCATATGGACATGTCGTCAGACAAAACACTAAATAATAATAAGATGAGGTGGGCTAGCGGTGAGAACGCTGGCCTTGTAATCCTGGGGGTCTCGGGTTCGATTCCCGGCGGTGCCCGAATTTATAACTTGCGTTGGGCAAGGCCGTGGTCTAGGCAACACGGAGTTTTCCTCCGTGGCATCCCAACAATTACTCCATTCACACACAGAAGAAGGCAATGGCAAACCACTTCTGGATCATCTGCCAAGAACGTATATGAACAGGTCCCAGTCCGAGAAAAGGATGGAAGGATCCTTTTCATATGGACCTCTCCTCAGACAGAACACTAAATAATAATAATAAAAATAACATCGTTACGTATACTCAGTGCCATGAACTTAAAACTAAGAAGTCAATGGATTGTCGTAAATCGAGCTACTGTAAAACGTAATTGGAAGAAAGTACATAACAACAGACTTCTTAACTTGAATTCATATCATAGTACGCCTTTCGTTTGCGCAGGCTTAATTATGCGATGGAAACTGAAGCAAGGTGGAAATGAAAATGAGAAAAATATTTCCGACGGAAAATCTCCTGAAATAAACACATGGAAGGATAATATTAAAGTGGACGTAGGAGGAAAAGTTCTAAGGGTATAAAACTTCTATGATAGGGTCATCGAGCGTGGGACTTCATAATGACACATTTCCAAACCTAACCGGAAAATCAACTTCTGAAAGATTAAGGTGGATACCGGAATTTTTTTTAAACCGCTTTGTCAGCTAAGCAGTGAATTACATCGGTAGTTGAGTTAGCAAGTTGTACTAATCCATTGTTTTTTTTGCCCAGCTTTCAGACGCAAACGATGGTAATAAGCAAACTAGGCAGAGTGAAACCACAGCCTTTGGTGACATCGCCCAGCGTTCCCCTAAACCGAAATGTGTTCGATGTGCTCCATTAAATATTTTATAACGTTACCAAACTGCAGTTATACAGACCGAACCGCTGATCCACTGTCTAATTTCTACATATCTGACCACAAAGTTGAAATATCAGATCCAATATCTACAAAAGTTTCATGTTTATTTTAATGTTTCTAGTAGTTAAGAAAACAGCTTATAAATTATTACTTATCAAATTCAGATTCCATTACTAGCGGCCAATCCAAGTAATGGCACTCTCTGTCCATAATGACAAATACCAAAGACCTCATATGAAATTCGTTCTGGAAGATTTTTTTACTATATATTGAATTCGCCTTTTAATGTAACACTTTACGTTCATGAGACTCATAAATGAGAATAAACTGATAAAATATAAAATTCGGCCTCAAACAGACCTGAGTTCAATCGGAATTTTCTATTAGATTTAACCTAGTCCGAGAAGAAACCTCGCACCACTACCTTACCAATTCCTGCACCTCCATTATCACAGTAAGAGGCAGAATCCCCTATGATGACTTGAGAGTTGAAACTATTTGGGCTGATAAAAAATTACTGGGTAGCCACTTATATATTAAACGAACCTTATCTGCAATGACACAGAATTAAATATGAAACGTATCCATTAATTCACTTTTAGTTTTGTTCAGGAATTAATATAATATTTTACTGAATCGAAGACAGAAAAGTTTCTGAGGTATGTGTGGTCAGCCCACAAGACCGGAAGTAATCTCATTATTTTTGTTCAAGTAAGAAGCTTTACGAATTTTCAAAAGATACGTCAGTGCCATCTACTTCCTTCAGTGAACAGTACGTATGACACGCACAATATAAATAACTTATCGAGAAACAGTTAAAATGTAAATCATCTGAATTGCAAATGGCCAGATTTCCCCTACCAAGAAGGTGAAACCAAAATCAGTCCGATTCCAGGGCTGTCAGAAAGATCTCAGGCCAAGAGCGAACCGGAAATCCGGGGACGCCCTGTGGATATCTTCCGTAGTAATTAAGCTGAATTCTTACTGTTTCTGATACATCAATAAACAATATTTCAGCCCCCCCCCCACACACACACTACTGATACGGTAAAAACCATAACATTATAAAATATAATGGGTTCTACATCTATTACCCTTTAAAAAATCAGAGTTTATAGAGAAAATTTAGGATTAAACCATTAGTTAATATCCATTTCTACAATACATAAAGTATTCTGTCTAAGTATGAATTATCTGCAAACTATAATGGGGCTACGACTGAGGTCTACTAGTATGTCATTGTCTGGGCGGGGAGGTGTCCGGTCAGAATATTCAAAACAAAAATCAGAAAATTCATGAAACAGCGAAAGTTGTGCCTTTTTCACTGAGACGGTTGTCGACAAAAGCCACTCTTACTGTCATTTACAGTTCATGCATATATGTCCTGGACCTTCCGACAACTGCCTATCCTATAATACCTAATTTCTCACAGTATAAAATTAGTCTAAGCCGCCACGGTGGTCTAGCGGTTAGAACGCTGGCCTTGTAATCCTGGGGTCTCGGGTTCGATTCCCGGCGGTGCCCGAATTTATAACTTGTGTTGGGCAAGGCCCGTGGTCTAGGCAACACGGAGTTTTCCTCCGTGGCATCCCAACAATTACTCCATTCACACACAGAAGAAGGCAATGGCAAACCACTTCTGGATCATCTGCCAAGAACGTATATGAACAGGTCCCAGCCCGAGAAAAGGATGGAAGGATCCTGTTCATACGGACCTGTCGTCAGTCAAATTCCTCTTTGTGAAAGTAATCGGGATTCGAACTACAAGGATAATCCGGGAAAGAGGGTTGCGCGTACTCAGAACCGAATTCTTGTATTATTTATAAAAAACACTCGGAAATAATGTGCGATAAAACAGACGTGGCGCCATTACCCGGCATTTATTTGCACTGCGTGAGGAAATCGTGAACATCTCATTCGGGATTGGAGGATACAGAAACTGTACTGAGATATCGATATATGATGGCAGTTAAGTGTTAGAAGAGACAGCCTTCACCAAACAGAAGTCGTCCATCCGTAAAACCATCACAACATAAATGTAAGTACGATTATGCAGTGAGGTTATTTGGTGGCTGTGCCGCTAATACTTGGAAAACGCAGCACCGACGTTGTGTTGACGCACAGCGGCAAGGCCACCCACCGCCGCCAGATACATTGTGTTATGAGGTGTACACTTAACTTTATTTTCGTATGGTAACATGAGTGTAAGAATTCGAAGAAAGATTATCAAAATCTGAGAGAACTTTATGTTTAAATGATGTAATAAATACTACAGCCATTGATCAGATGACTGCCTAATTTCATTTCCGACGCTGATGTCATGAACACTAATTACGAAATCATAATAACTTCAGTAACTACACGAAAGGATATTTCTTTGAGACTGTGTTTCGTAATTTGTAGGTCATATGTTAGTTGTCCGTTCATTCAAAGCGCTGAGTGTGGAAACAGAATCAGTGAGCATGTTCAATTTAGATGTAATACGCCTCATCTATTTTCGGGGAGGCACCGAGTTCGAGCCTCAGCTAGACACCGACTATCCTTCCAAGCGAAGTTTAGAAGTGTTCTGTAGTTACTTAGCCGAATTTTAAAAAAGTTCGCAATGTCTTTCGTCTTCCGATGCTAAATTCGTACCTGCAGTCAATAAAGCGTCATTAAACATCAAATTAACGAATCAAAAACAGCGATGGCGTTTCTAATTTAATCAGAGTAATTTTGTAGGTTATAATGTCACATTTCCTTCGACTCAAAATGGACACTTGAAGTGCGCACGTGCCCTCTGGAGTGACAGTTGAAGTACTGTAATTTTTTATAATCTTTGCCGTGATTTTCCTTCCTTTTACTTAACTGGATCATTTTCCTTTCTAAGAACCACAAAAAAGTGTTGTCCGCGACATCTGTGCTGAGAGACACAAATTGTCATTTGTGTAGCCACGGCCCAGCGAGATATAAGGCTCGAATTCAGTACATCTCTGACATTTTAACTTCACTTAAATCTATGTAGCACGCTTTCATTTATTACGATACTCATTCCCGTTAAATTCAATGTCATTGGAATAACTCGGACTTACTACAATCAGCTGTAGCCTTGTCTTGAAGGTGTGTTACAGCTATAAGAAGACATGGTTTGCTCGATTACTTCCAAACCCACTGTCAGACGTTTAGTAGGAATTTTTAAACGATGAGAGGGCGGAGGGCATCGTAAGGGTTATACCTACAAAC